AAAAAAGCATTAGAAACATCAAGTTGGTGAAGTGGCCAATTATAATGCATAGCTAAAGAGAAAACAACACGAATAGTTTGCTGCTTAACCACAGGGCTGAATGTTTCTGAATAGTCAAGACCATATTCTTGATCATAACCCTTTGCCACAAGACGTGCTTTATATCTCGACACTGTCCCATCAGCATTACGCTTTATACGATAAATCCACTTACAACCAATTGGGTACCTGTTGCTAGGTGGAGGAACCAACACCCACGTACGTTGTCTCTGTAACGCCTCAAATTCTTCATCCATAGCCTGACACCAATACTTGTTTTTAGATGCTTGTTTATAGGTGGTTGGCTCAGTAAGAGGAAGTTCATCAAAGGGAATGGTGGAGGCATAGGCTTTTGGTTTAAAAATTCCACTTTTGGACCTGGTGATCATAGGGTGAGAGGAGAAAGGTGGTTGTCGAGGTTGAGGTGGGAGTAGGGCAGTGGCTTCAGGTGTCAGATGAGGATCAGGTGTGGATGTAAGAAGGGGAGAAGGGACGGTGGGTGGTGTTGCAATGGGTGGGGTGGTCGGGTGTTGAAGGTGGCGATGAGGTGGAACGGGAGGAGTAGTAGGGTGGTGCATGGGTGACGGTGGGGTGGATAGCAGAGGCACTGGAGCTAGACTATGGGACTGGGAAGACGGAAAAAGAGGTAGAATACCAAAGTAAGAAGTGGAGGAAGATGAAGAAGCCTGACTGTGTATTTTTTGGTAAGGAAATTCAGACTCATTGAAACGAACATGACGAGTGACGTAGACTTTAGAAGTAGATGGATCAAAACAACGGTATCCTTTTGTGTGAGGTTTATAGCCAAGGAAGACACAAGGTTTGGAACGAGGCTGAAATTTGTGATAAACCTCATGACGGAGGTGAGGGTAAGCTAAACACCCAAACACACGGAGAAAGGAGTAATCAGGAGCATCATGGTATAACTTTTCATATGGAGAGATATGGGATAAGGACCGCTTTGGGAGTTGATTAATGAGAAAATTAGCTGTAGCAAGAGCTTCGACCCAAAAGATGACTGGTAAGTTGGATGTATGGAGAAGAGTGATAACTGTTTCAACAAGATGGCGATGTTTACGTTCCGCCACCCCATTTTGCTCAGGGGTGTAAGGACATGTTTTTTGGTGAAGGATGCCAAGTTGTTGTAAAAAGTGACCAAATTGTTTATTCACATATTCTTTTCCATTATCAGTGCGAAAAAGTTTAATAGTGGCCCCAAATTGATTTTTAACCATGCACTGAAAACTTTGAAAGGCCCCAAATGCTTCAGATTTATGTTTTAAAGGATACAACCAAGAGAATTTAGTGAAGTCATCAATAAAAGAGATATAAAAACGATAACCAGCAAAGGAGGGAACAGAGGTAGGACCCCAAACATCAGAATGAATTAATTGAAATGGAAAAGTAGCAGCAGTATATGATAAAGGGAAAGGTAACTTATGTGATTTAGAAACGGAACAAGAGTCACAAAACAGTACTTGGGACGACGAAGAAAAACCAAAACTAGAAAGTAATTTATTGGTGACTTCTAGAGAAGGGTGTCCCAACCGACGATGCCAATCTTGTGAGGTGAGAATGGCCGAATGCACGGAAGGAGATA